CCAGAGAAGACGAAAAATAGAATAACGAGGACTGAACCTTTGGAGAGCCCTTCAGACCTCATATGAGTGATACAGACTTTGTCAGAGGACAATTGGAGTCTCTGGAACACACGAAAGTCATGAAACAACTTGTCAGAAATTTGGAACAAGAATTAATGCACATTGGGGGAATTGACGTACGAGCGCAGTGGACGTTGTGTTTAGAAGCGTCAAAACTGTTTTGCTCCCTGAATTTGAACAGATCAACTCAATCTCGGATTCATGAGATCCGTGGGATAAAATCAATTCCGGATTTTTCTGCGTCCAACGCCAATGAGTTTCCTCGATCGATCCCAGATTTACAAACTTATCATCACTCCACCAACACAACTGCGAAGAGAAGTTTAATTTTGCATTAAAAAATTGAGAAAAAAAATTATTGACAAATTAATAATGTATGATAACTCGAATTCCCATTAAATCAATTGATCTCAAAGTTATTGATTTCATGGCGCAATATCAAAGGAAAAAAGAAATATCAAATTTCATTGGCCGCAAAAAAGATTTTTGCTCCTGATTTGATCAGTCATTTTTAGTATCATTAATTGATGAGTATGTCACTTAAATTTCATTACTCACTGATGTTTTTTCACAATCCGCCGTAGCATTGGAAGGCTGAGAGTGTAGAATCGTCAAATTGGTATTTGTACATGGTTGAAAGGCTACACTACCATTCTCATTTATAAAGGGCCTTTAAATGCAGATAAAAAATTGTAGTACACAACGGCCAAGTGTTAACACTTGAAAATGGACGAGAGGTGAAGCAGAAAGGACACTTTCGACATTTCTACAGCAATTTACTTAATGAAATGCAAATTGCTCGCTCTTTGTAATGAGACCAGGCTGTGTTCAATTCATTTATTTCACATCCAGTCATAAAAAATAGACCAGAATTTATATTCATTGAGGGCACATTTACAGTTCTACGTAGCACCTTATTGTATTAATGACAAAATAATATAAATTATTCCTTCAGTGTTATTTTGAAATGTTTTAATGAAAGTAATTGTGTCAATTTATATAGTTTAGTAAATGTGAATAATATATGAGATGTTCTCGTTTTACTTGATAATAATTGGAAATATATGAATAACAAATGGAGTGGTTGGTTATTAATAAAAATTGAAGTGTCCATTCTG